TCAAAAAAAAAAAAAAAGTAAAAAAAATTTTTGTATGTGATAGAAGGTGTGCAGTTAAGGTTCATTTTTAAGCATATGGTTGTTCAACATTGTTGTTCTTTCTTATTACTTTATTCTAGTTCTTTGTCATTTCATATACATTTTAGAATTAATTTGTCTTGTTTCTACAAAATAGCCTCTTAAGCTTTTGTTTGGATTGCATTGATACAGCTCAATTTAGGGAAAATTTACATCTTAAGAACATAAAATCTTTCATGAGAGAAAATATTTGCAAAGGACTCTTCTGAGAAGTAATTAATAGCTAGAATATATAAGAAACATTAACATCTTGCAGGGGCAACACCACGTCTCTAAAAAAACGGCCAGGTCTTGGGGCAAGTGCCTGTATTCTCAGCTGCTTGGGAGGCTGAGGCAAGAGGATCACCTAAACCCAAGAGTTTGAGGTTGCACTGACCTGTGCTGCCACAACATTATATCAAGGGCAACATTGTGACACTCTGTCTCCAAAATATATATTTATATATATAAAATATATATATACACACATATATGTGTGTATATGTAAATAACAAACAATTAGGTCTTTCTGAAGTAATAGGCCTTGCCCTGCCTCCCAAGAAAAAACAAAAGAAAGAAAGAAAAATTAGGTCTAAATAATGGTGAAGTTCCGGGAGAGTTCAACATAGGATAGAATATGTTAAGAGGCCAAACATAAGAAAATTGATAGTGAGGATGATTTCAAGTCAGATCAAAGGCAGAAATGAGAACCTGGCAATGGTAATAGCCACTTTTCTAGTCCCTAAAAGCATAGTGATATATTTCTTTAAATAGAAAAAATAAAAGCATTAATTTTTCTAATTGATTTTTTAAAAAATTATTTTGTCTTCCAGGAATCTGTCTTGAACTATCGTTTAGATCCTCTCGGCATTGTTGATGGTTTCACTGCCGAGGTAGGGGCAAGTGGTGTTTTTTGCCCCACTCATTTGACTCTTCCAGTTGAAGTGTCATTCTACAGTGTTTCAGATGATAATGCTCCCTCTCCCTATATGGCAAGTATTTTTTATACTGTCCTTTTCTGCAAAGTCAACCAGTTTAATAACAATTGTCTTTAAATGCTATGGTATAATGCTTAAAAATATAAAACATTTCCTAAGTGAAGATTGCATGCAAATTAATATACTGAAATATTATCTCACAACTTCTTTCTGAGCCAGCTCAAGCAACAGATAACCTCTTTTGCTTTTAAGGATGGTGCTGAAAATTTACTTGTTTCTGTGTGATTTTCAAAAATGAGAAAAATTGATTAGTGGCACTAATCTTGCTGTCTTGCTGTGTTCTTACTGTGCACTCCACTCTACAAGGTTTGTCTTCCCATATGATTCCTACCTCTACTTAGAGCTTAAGGATTTGGTGGCTTAAAGCCTTTTGTGAGGCCCTTAGGTATGTTTTGGACCCATTCTTTTCTAACTCTTGGGTTTTTAGAATAATAGCTATTTCAGAGTAAAGTATGAAATAGTGAGCTCAGGTCTTAATGGAGAGTGAAAAAGCAAAGGCACGTTAGAGAGCATAGTCTCAAGCTTTAAGATCCTATAATTTCACCTTTCCCTTTTTTATTCCAATGGATTGCAGATAAAGTAAGCCTTTAACTAAGTCCTGATATATGATTTGTATCAGCCTTTTTCTGAAAGACAAAGAGGGCGAAGTGGCTACCAAAGCTTCTCTGTAGACATGTTTACTGTGATGGTATCAAATATGGAATCAAATCTGAGTCTGCATGCTAGGTCTTTCTTTGGAGAAATGCAAATTACTGTAGTCAGCTGTACAGCCTAGTCTTGCTACTTGAATTTCCTAACTTACCACCTGGCCTAATTCTTTTCTCTCCTAACATCCCTCTCCCCTACCTTCTAGGTTTTTAAAGAATTAGTAACAGTGTCTTTGTTATTAGTAAAACCTGTGAAGAGGGATGTCTGCATAATTGAGAAATAATAGAGAAGGAAGGAAGTTATGTTTTTTAAAGGACCTAAATATGGCCTACTCATTATTGTCCCTGTTTGCTCAAGGAAGGTTATTTAGGTTTATTCCATTCTAAGGGTAAAGCTTGTAGCCAGGAACCTGTTCGCTGTTTTATACTTTGATAGAAAAAGTACAGTGGTGTCTCCTCATTCATTCAAAGTTTTCTTTTCCCAGCAATATTTATACTTGTGGGTCTTAATCATGAAGAGGTACAGCATTGGTTATTATCAAAAGCAAAGGTCCTTCCCTTTCAAACCTTCCCAGTTACTACATATCCTGCCTATTTTTCATTTAACATAAAATGAATTTTCTCCAGAATAATTTTGAAAAAATAATTGCCAATTTTGAACAGTTAAAAAATGGAAAGTAAAACTGAGAGATTAATATCAGAATAAATTCATAGCATAGTGGAATACTAACATATATTATAATTTAGCTGTAAAGATGCCCATTTTGCTTTACCAGGACATCAAGAATGTCATCAGTTTCATACATTCTATGGCAACATAGAAATAGAGAATGTGAAAGATAAGGTCTAAAATACTGCAATCTTTCATTAGTAAAGATAATCCTTCTTGGCCATTAGGATAGCTCAGAAATGAGAGAAAAGGGTGAAACTAGATGAAAATCAGCTGAAATAAATACCTTTGAGTAAAATTCATGAGCCAGGGGCTATATGAACTGTGCATTCAAAATGCAAAACAGCGTCAATCTTTGACCTTGGTTGACATATTAAAAAAAAGAAGGATTTGGAAATAAAAGATTTTATTCACTCTAGAAAGTACTGGAATATCAGGTTTATGTATCATAAATTTGAATAGATTAGATATTTGAACAGATAATGGAAAGGGTATAAGTCAGGTTGCTGGGTTGTTTATTCATCTGTCCTTTTAAGAATCCTTTCTGTTCTCTAATAATATACTTCAATCAACTATCTCATAATTTTTTTGTCAGTAAGTTTACTTCTTAGGAATGGATTCTCTTAGCAAGTAACACATTCTAAATCTTAGATCATAAATTTTTCCTACTGTAAATTAATAAAATTAATTTTGTTCTTCAGGAATATTATTTATGTTTTGGCAGTTTAGTCTGTTTTGAAAGAACTGGTCATGTTTTGACAATACATATTAAAGACCAGTAGTACTGAGACACTAAGCTTCTTTTTGTTAACTCTAATAGTAACCTTGTTACTCTAATAATAACTTCGAGACCTGTCATCATAAATTATACAAATGACTCACAAAGGTAAATTTTACCATAGAAAATGGTTTGTAGTATAGGGGTAGTACAGGACTTTTCATGAGATAATTCCTTAAAGATTAACTGAAAGCCATAAAATATCTCTCTCCAATTCGGAATCAATGGTAAAAATGCTCCCCAAGTGTTTTTGACAGTATATAGCTGTTCAGAAACTATTGCATGTTGAAATCAGGCAAAAATATCTAAAACATTTGTGCCAGAGGTAAATTTATGGTATAAACTCCATTATTATCGAGTGGTGCCCATAGCTCAGTGGGTAGGGTGCTGGCCACATACACCAAGGCTGGGGGGTTCAAACCTGGCCGGGCCTAGCTCAAAAAACAACAATGGCAGCAATAAGAAAAAATAGCCAGCATTCTGGCCGGTGCCTATAGTCTCAGCTACGTAGGAGGCTGAGGCAGGAGAATTGCTTGAGCATAGGAATTTGAGGTTGTTGTGAGCCGTGACGCCATGGCACTATAAGCAGGGCAACAGCTTGAGACTCTGTCTCAAAAACACAAACAATAATACTGCATTATTATCATATTAACAAGGCCATGTATGATTTCTACCAATTTGTAATTAACCAGATCAAAATATACTTTTTTCTGGTGGTGCCTTTGGCTCAAAGGAGTAGGGCGCTGGCCCCATATACCTGAAGTGGCAGGTTCAAACCCAGCCCCAGCCAAAAAAAAAAAACTGCAAAAAATATATTTAGATATATGTACTTTTTTCTTTTCCACTTGTTTTTGCATATTCTCTGTACCATAATAATTTGAGGATTTTCTGTGTAATCTTTTGATCAAACTTAGTTTACCTTAACCTTACTATTCTACTTTAAAATGCCAGAAGAAAAATGTATTTTTCTTTATGTTAATTATAGTAAAATTCAAAAATTGATAATATTAATAAAATTTTAAATAATTTTCCAGTTCTTTCCTAAAATTCCTATCTTGCCAATGCTACTGATCTTACATTGTTTAGAATTGTTTTAGAATATTGCCATAAGGCTCAGTACCCATAGCTCAGTGAGTAGGGCACTGGCTCCATACACCAAGGCTGGCGAGTTCAAGCCCGGCCCAAGCAATCTTCTTGCCTCAGTTTTTCTATTTTTAATAGAGAAGGGGTTTTGCTCTTAGTCAGCCTGCTCTCAAACTCCTCAGCTCAAGCAATCCATCGACCTTGGCCTCCCAGAGTGCTTCATTTAGAATATTCATTTAGGGCAGTGGTTCTCAACCTTCCTAATGCTGCAAGCCCTTAATATAGTTCCTATGGGTCGCAGGTTGAGAACTGCTTATTTAGAGTAAATATTCACCCAGGAATATTGGTAATTACCATCCAGGAACCATGGGCTCCCAAATTTATGGGCTCTTTATCTCTAGTCAGAAATCGACACTCTGCTCATATTAAAAAAAAAACTGGCATACCTACTACCTCATTAGACATGTAGAACAGATCGTGAGAAAAAAAAGTGTTAAACCTTCATTACTGTTTTGGTTGGGGGCACAGTTTGTTGATATGGTGTCTTCAAGTGACCATGTAATAAATCAAATTTGTCAAGAGCCACATACGTGCCAGGTGCGTTGACTCACGACTATAATCCTAGCACTCTGGGAGGCCAAGGTAGGTGGATTGTTTGAGACCACCCCGAGCAAGAGTGAGACCCTGTCTCACTGAGGTAAAAGGATTGCTTAAGCCCAAGGGTTGGAGATTGCTGTGAGCTATGATGCCATGGCACTCTGCTAAGGGTGACAAAGTGAGATTCTGTCTCAAAAAAACAAAACAAAACATGTCTTCTCAGCGCCCATTTCCATGAATGTTTCCCAATTTTAATGTGTTTATTTGATGACCTGATGTAAAATGATATTTACTTGGAGCTAAGGGATTCATATATGTTATATCTGGCTTCTCTTTTACCTTTGTGCACTTGTTTTTACCTCCCAACTTACAAAGCCAACAGAGATGTCATGTGATGGGACAGTTCTATTGTTTATTTACTTCTACATAAGTTTGGCAGATACAGCATATAATGATGGAATCATGAAATGTAGAACATGCAGTTATTCTACTTGATTATTCCACCTTAACTACTCAAAAATATTAGTCCAGTTAAATAGATCAGCATTCACTTTTTGAAACTAAGAATCAAGTATCACAATCACTACTTATAGCCATTTGGTCATCCTATTTATTAAGAAGCTTTCAAGGATTCACTTGAACTTATTTTAATTTGTACTTTTCCCCTATTGTTTGGAATACTGGAGTGATTAGAGCATCCTCAGAAAGACTACTTCATATGTTAGAGCAGTGCTTCTCAAACTTCAGTGTACATATGATACCATCTGGGGAATCTTGTTAAAAATGTAGATTTGATTTGGGTTCGGCACCTGTGGCTCAAGTGGCTAAGGCACCAGCCACATACACCTGAGCTGGCAGGTTTAAATCCAGCCCAGGCCCACCAAACAACAATGATGGCTGCAAAAAAAAATGCAGATTTGATTTGATAGGTCTGGGGAGAAACCGAACACATGGTATTTCTAACAAGTTCATGAGTAATGCTGATGTTGCTAGTCTGAGAACCATTTGAGTAACAGCCTAACTGGAGGACTCCTGGTATCCCCTTTTAGACTTCTGTAATGAAATAACCATAATTTAGCTTTGACCTTGACTCAAATCTTAGCTCTTAGACATTCAATCCATCTTGCTCTCATATGGAATCAATCTGAATTCTTGGATTCCTTAGTAAGTGACAAAAAAAAAAAA